ATGTTGTATGTAGATCTGGAGTTGTAAAGAAAGAAATTTCCCCCTGGGATTATTAAAGTATTTCTGATTCTGATTACAATATATTGGAGATATCTTACAGCTTTGTGAGTGCTATGAATTGTGTCTCTTTAGTGTAGTTGTTAACAGGAAACTCGTTCTTCCTCCTGATATGTAGAACTATAACTCTGTGCAACACTGAGATTCATTGAACGATAATAAAAAAGGGACACGTTGGTAAGAAACCTGACACTGTTCAGACACTGGAGGTATTAAACTGGAGTTGTTGTACAACGGCTCCACCTGCTGCTCACAGTGGGCACTGACACCGGAAGACACCACCGGATGTTTGCCTGAAATCGCGCGATATGAGGCCTAACGAGAGTTGTGTCCGTTCTTTTCCCCCGGAACTTCAGGCAAGATGGTAGGTTCATGTACCGTCCTGAAGCTTGGAAACATAATCTACATGCATCTCATCTCTGTATTGACTGATTAAGATAGCTGGCTGTATAATCCGATAGTTACACACGTTCGCTGATCCTTGAGTGGAGAATTGTTGCTGAGAATTACAGATAAAAGTGTTTATATGCTCTGTATTAGCCCCAGCTATGGCCGTCTGTGGCTAAGCTAACCCAGTCTGTACCAGCAGCTAAATAAGACCTGTGCTCTTAATGTTACTGGTGGCCCGAGGGAGGTTTAACACGATGTACTATATATGTGTACCAGTGACATTGAGTTTAAACATCTGCGCAACCTGTACTTGCTAACATCTAGTAGCTCCACACTGACCCGGGATGGTGTTCCTCTCTTTCAGGCGGATACAGAGATTAAGAAGAAGCGTACCTTCAGGAAGTTCACCTACAGAGGTGTGGACCTGGACCAGCTTCTGGACATGTCCTAGTAAGTCTGACAGATTGTGTATGGTGGTGGTCAGCTGGAACTCCTCAACTACGTTTTCTCAGTTTCATTGGTTTGTAAATTAACATTTTGCCCATCATAAATAGTGTAAAACCTAGTTATACAGCCTTATGTTCTGTTGTAGCTCCAACATTGGTATTAACTATTGAGTCCATCACATTATGACATCCAGATGCTTAAAACAAAGGTAGCTAAAGGCGCTGACTGGATGTTTCACTGAAGCCGGGAAACCATTCATGACTGGCTAGTGGCACAAGCTCCACTCAGAGTGAATGTAAAGTCAAAATTTATGCAATTGCCACTGAACTATTCTACATTTTGTAAATAAACATTACTGAATAAATGTCACTGTCCTCTTCCCCTGTGTAGTGAGCAGCTGATGCAGCTGTACTGCGCCCGCCAGAGGAGGAGGCTGAACCGTGGCCTGCGCCGCAAGCAGCAGTCCCTCCTGAAGCGCCTGCGCAAGGCGAAGAAAGAGGCTCCCCCCATGGAGAAACCAGAGGTGGTGAAGACCCACCTGAGGGACATGGTCATCCTGCCTGAGATGGTCGGATCCATGGTTGGAGTGTACAACGGCAAGACTTTCAACCAGGTTGAAATCAAGGTGAGGTGCTTTTGGTCAGGTGGGAGGGAGAGCATATGAGTACATTTTAAAGACATTTTACATTACATCGATCACATTCCACTGAAGGAGTGTGACTTTGAACTAAAGTTGACATTGTGGGCTAACGTAGAACATCATGGGCATGAATAAAAAAAAAAAAAGCACACTAAAGTTGGAGTATATTTCTTTGGTGTATCCAGTCGGAGCACATACCTTCAGTTTGAGTCACTTAGACTGACTGAAGGAGTTATGACAAACAGCATCAGTCTGTGTACTGTCAAACAAGCCATTGTCTCCCATTAATTGTTGTGGCAGTAAACAGAAAGCTGAAGCTGTTAAACAGTTTTATATTGTTTAAGAATGTCCTAAGCAGCAGTAGAAGATGGGAAATCAAGACCATTGAATCGGCCAAGTAACATGTTACGATAGTTGTTTGTCGTACAGAACAATGGTTGAGTTGCTGCAAATAACAGAATAAGATAAATCTATATATTATCTATATATTGGAAAATTGAAACATCAAATACAGCATCATTGACATGCAACTACAGATCTGAAAGAATTGTTGTGAAATTCATAATTTCTAGCTACTTTGAGTTGTACATTCCCTGAAGAAAATATCCACACAGAAGAAAATGCCCTAAAACACAGCATGAAATCTTGAACTGAAACATGTAGGAGCTTTTTTTTTCTTTTAAGTATACCTGCGGCAACATCAGACTAAAAGCAGGATGCTTCTGCATAAGTGCTGACAAAAACCACTTCAGATAATCTACTGCCAGACTGCACTGACCCCCTAATTAGACACTAATTAAAGCTTTTAACTGTAGATCAGTGGTTCTCAAACTTTCTGGTGTGCTCTCCTTCACAAGCTGTAAGAGGTTTGAAACTACCACCCCACATGATTGCATTAATCATATTCCTTCAGTTTAGTGTTGTTATTTTTCCCCCTGGTCCTCCACGCCCCCCTGTAGTGGCTCTATGCCCCGCAGATTGACCATTTTAGAGCTCAGTGACTCTTGGCAGACATTTAGGTTATGGTCTGCAGCTACTATGTTTATATAAGTGTACCTCAGGCATTTATCTTGTTACTAACATGTTCCTCCTTTTCCACAGCCTGAGATGTGCGGTCACTACTTGGGCGAGTTCTCCATCACCTACAAGCCAGTCAAGCACGGTCGCCCTGGTATTGGAGCTACACATTCTTCTCGTTTCATCCCACTGAAGTAGAATGGCTGTATTTGTATAAATAAAAAAAGTTGCTCCACAAAACTGGTCTGCTTTGGTCCCTTCATTCTTTTCAGCATGATGAATTAAAATGAATTATACAGTCTCTTTCTTCTTCAAGCTTGAGCTGTCCAGGTGTTCTGATAAACAAGTATGGGTGGCTTTGATATAACTGAAATAACAGACCCATAGCACACAATAGGTCTTTACTGTTGGTGACTTCAGACGTGTGATTAGTACTGGATCATTGATTACATTCAATAAATGATTCACATCAGTTAGATACAGAAAATGAATTTGCTTTGTAAAGGGCATGTGACTCAGGTGTAATACTGATGCACGCTAGTGGATGAAACATTGGTTTGACTGGTAAATACAGTTAATGTAGTGAGTGTAAAGTTATTAGGTGCCGTACAGATCATACTTTACAACTTCTCGACCATCTCCGCAGTTAATCTGGAGATTTAAATGTAAACATGATAACCAGAAGACGGCACCCATTAATGTGTAACGCATGGGGAATGATTTAAATGAATGAAGAGCAGGAGTCAGTCTGCGGAGAATGAACCCTCCTGCCTCAAAGAGCACTGACCGCACTCACCAGAGCGGCAGTGCGGCCCTGAAAAGGCTCCGGGCTGTACTCCTCCAGTGATAAGGTTCCTCCTCTTTCCGATCTGAAGCCAGCTACATTTTGTGTGGCCACTCTGGGCCATGGATACAACCTTTAGCAGTTGCACAATCTGTTTCTTGAGACCAAGATAATAAAATCTAGAACTTGGTTAAAGAAACAGTGGCCAGACTGGTAAGTATCCCCTCTAATTTCAGCTTGTTTCATAGGTACGGTCGTCCAAGAGTCTGTTTTTACAGAAATGCCAGAAACCGCTAGCTAGCGGCTAGCTTGCTTCTAGCTAGGTGGCTAGCGTCAGTTAGCTTCAGAGAGAAAATGACAGAGAGGAGCTGTCATGTCAAAATGTAGCTAAGCAAGACATTTTTAAACAGACACGGTTTGATAGTGGTCGTTTTCTAAGAACTTGGGGGTTTTTCTCCTTCACTGCCAGATGTCAGTACCGTCTGTGGCCTTTAAAATGTTAACACGAGTGAATGTACCGGTGTTTTCCACAGAGAGACTGAGGAGTTGAAACCCGAGAACAAAGATCTGCTGTAGGCTAGCTAACTGTTCACGTTAACATTACCGTTTCACTCCATTTGTTCTCTTAAAATGAGCTTACTAAAGGTTATCTAGTCACCCACTGAATCAAATAGGGCCTTTCCGTGTGTAACGTTACAAGTTACAGTGTAATTCTTTCCATTGTAACATATTTTACATACTAACACCGAGACCACGTTGAGTTAAGTTTAATGATAGAGGATGTTTTTAGCAGAATATATCCAATGGACGCACTTCCTCCTGTACAGGCACATAAATATCCAGATCTAGCTACATTTAGTGTAATCTTCATTCATAAATACACTTCATCAGTCCTCGTAAAGACCTCTGTAGGCAGGTGACCGTGCTGTAGTGACTCCTGGGAGCACTGGGTTGCACCTGTTAGTGTATTTGTTATGAGCTCAGTGTTACTTATTTACAGATTTAAGCAGCCTCACCACATTATCAGACCCAGCCTACTACAACCTCCTAACAGTACCATAAGAAAGGCACTTCAGTTATTCATATGATCTTTTTCCCACTGCTGTATGCATCATGATAATCCCTTACCTTACATAGAGGGATAAAGGAAGGAATGTGGGGTTTACCCTGTACTTCACCTCAAGCAGGAGTTATCACTTCTCAGTTATGCTTGTGCTGCCAAAGACTAACACGTGAAAGATTTAACAAGAATGATGAATTAAAACTACAGACCAGTCACTCTGGTCGGCCTCTGGTCTGGCTCCATGTCTCTGAGTCCTTGTGAATTAGTTGCATTTTTCCTCTTCTCCTTGAGGAACTTTGATTATTGTGTTGTAGTCTGAGGACTGATGTCACAGTCACGCACTTCTCATGATGTTAGCTAGGTATGTTCATTATTATAAGGAATTGCTGCCCCTGTAGTGTCACCGTGGTTAACTCTATTTGTCATTTTGTATTCAGGAATTTTGAATGATCTCAATACGGCACTTTGTTCATAGGTTACAGAGTCGGAGTGAGGCGTGTTGACCGGTGAATGCATAGAGTCAAGAAGGTAAAACTCTGTGACAATAAAGAAGGTATCTGGAAAAGGTACAGTACACAATTCATGTTATATCTCTTTTAACTGCTTTGATGCTCAGTTAGGAAGATGGATGAATAAATGTTTTAAAAACCAGTGCCATTAATGGAGTGCAGAAGTGCAGGTGTGTCTGTGTTTCTCAGCCTCTTATCAGTTCTTTCTAATGTCAACATCCAGCTGTGTGACAGTGAGCATGACGGCTGTGGACGGCCTTTCGGACAGCACAGAGGTGGTGGAGATGGAGGATGTCCCATCTCAGTTCTTTGTGGAGAAACACTCTTGGGAGGGCCTCCGTGACATTATCCACTGTAGCAGGAAGTACTCGGGCATGATCGCCAACAAGGCTCCCCATGACTTCCAGTTCGTGCAGAAGAAGGATGAGAATGGACCCCACTCCCACCGGTTGTACTACCTCGGTAAGCTTAACGATTGTGCACAAAGTCCCTTGCATCAGCTTATAATTTGTATTTTCTGTATAGCACGCCTTTATACTCCTTTCACTTTCATGTTTTTGTGCTCTAGGCAGCAGAGTATGATTGTGTCATGATAATAAACGGTCACCGTGGTGAATTCCTCCATTTCCAGTTAGCACAAGCCTTTACCTCTTTTATATGTGTTTACCAGGAATGCCTTACGGAAGCCGAGAGAACTCATTACTCTACTCAGAAATCCCCAAGAAGATCCGGAAAGAGGCTCTCTTAGTGTTGTCATGGAAACAGATGCTGGATCATTTCCAGGTGAATTCCCCCTCTCCTCCTGTTCATGCAGTGCCAATACCAAATAGCACAGGGTGGTGGGGTCTCTCAGTTGGTTGTTACTGAACATTCCTATTTGATGGTACCCTTTCTTTAGTTTTATTTAAAGTAGCTTCACTTTGAGATAAGCAGTCCCCGGAGGTGTAGCAGTGTTGCTGTTTTTTAGCAACATGATACGTTTTGAAACTTAGAAGATTAGCCATAAACTTTAGGTATAAACTTTGAGAGGAATGCTTGTACTGTAAAAACATTATACAGTTATTTGACCTGGGGGATCAGTTGAACGTGGCTCTGTCAGATATATCTCACAGTAATATTACTGTTTATATTAGCACACTAAAACCTATGTATATCCTAGCAACATGTGCCCTGTTTATTCTAATGCTGTACATCTGATTTCCTGTTGTTTCTCTAAGGCTACACCGCACCAGGGGGCCTATTCTCGAGAGGAGGAGTTGCTGAGAGAGCGTAAACGTCTTGGAGCATTTGGTATCACGTCCTATGACTACCATGCCCAGACGGGCCTGTTCCTCTTCCAGGCCAGCAATAGCCTCTTCTACTGCCAGGATGGAGGCAACAATGGCTTCATCGTGAGTACACTGCATTTTTAGTTGTCTTCAATTTGGAGTTCTTAGATAGTCAGGACAGATTTAATTCTGAGCAAGGTAACAGTGAAGGTGTGTGCTGGAACTGGTGCATTGAATACGCCCATTTGTGCCCTGACTTAACAGGAAGGATGTGATCAACCATCTGCTAGGTAGAGCTGTGCTGTTGCTGTGAATCAATTAACGAAGCCTTCTACGTCACTAGCATGTTACATTTTAGATTTTGTTCCATGTTGCAGATGGTTTCCTTGATTAGCTGTGTATTAACATCTGACGGCATAATAATAATGCAATTTTTCTGTTTGTAATAGTTATAATGATGATTAAAAGACCATTTATCTTTTTTCTGTTGGTCAGTGCTTTAGATTGTGTGCTCTTTAAGCCATGTTGTTGATCTTCTTGCACGGACTGGTCCTGGATACAAATGCCAGCTCTGGTATAGACCTAGCTCTACTCATGATATAGTGTCTTGTAAGGCAGTCACAAAGATACCAATACGTTCTGTGGGTCTCTTTTAAACCTATAGTTTGTATAACAAGTGTTTTGTTCTGTTTCTGTTGTCACTGTTAGTGATGTTGGTGGTCCACTGTTAGCGGCTGGTTTGAATTTGGGATACTGATTGTTTGATTGTTTTAAATGTTGCCTTTACTATTTGTGACAGGTGCGTCTTTAAGTATGCACCCTCCTTTGCACTGTATGTGTACCTTCCTGTTTGGGCCTTTAGCAGCTTTGATAAGCTTCTTCAAATTTGCTAAGGTCCTGTCTCATGTGGTTTCTCTGATTTTGTCCATCCTTTATAAATTCTTTCTCATGTAGGGAGGGTGAGATATAATGTGCCACCCTATATATTGCACAGTATTTAATTCAGTTAAGTTCAGTTGAGGTTAAGGGAAGTGCTTCAGTAGGCCTCGTCCTCTTGATGAGTTCCGTAAGTTACAATTTGAGTGACATACTGGGAAAAGCAAAGATTTCTTTTACATATTTATCTTGTTTATGTGCATGGCAGGTGTTTACACACAAGTTAGGTGGAAGAAAAGAGATTTAAGGAGTATGAAGAACACTGTTAATCTTATTGATTCTTTGAACAGTGATCATTTCCATGGTTTTATTATAAACATCAGAAGGCTGTTGTTGGTGACCACACTGTTCCTGCAGTTTGCAGAAATATAATAATGAATGCCTCCTGATGGAACAAGGTGCCACCTTACTGTGCTCATTGTACTGTTTCATATTTGTGAAATGGTCTTCATTTAAGACAATTCTTTTATGTATCCTGTATTTCTACAAAAGTCATTCTTCTGTTTGCCTTTGACTAAGATTGTTTATGTTGCTTTTAGCAGTCTGTTCCTGTAAAACCAGTGGAGATTAAGACCCAGTGCTCAGGGACCCGCATGGACCCTAAGATCTGCCCTGGAGACCCTGACTTCATAGCCTTCATCAACAATAACGACCTGTGGATAGCCCACATTAAGACTGGCGAGGAAAGGAGACTCACTTACTGTCACAAAGGTCTGAAGGGTTTGGGTTTCATTTGAGTTGTTTGAGTAGGCAGTAAAATGTCATGCAATAAGTAGCTTCACATGCTTAAATATCCTCTTTAATAGACTCTAAAACTGTAAAATAATTTCACACTACAACGTAGAAAGAAAATACCTTTTTTAATATATTTTAAGACAAAAGTGTAAAATATTAGATAATATGTATGTTTAGCTCCAGTAACGTTACATGGATGTAAGCTTTTTTTCCTAATGTATTTACATTTTTCCAGGTGTGGATAGTGTTAAGGAAGACCCCAAGTCTGCAGGTGTAGCAACGTTTGTCATCCAAGAAGAGTTTGACCGTTTCACTGGCTACTGGTGGAGTCCCTCAGCAGTGGAAGGTCAGCAGTTAGTAGCTTAAATGCTTATATCATTCATGCTCTTTGTGTACACAACTAACTGACACCCAGTGTTAAAACGTATTGGTCATATCATTGGCTTCTTTTAAATATGGTGATGGTGATAAAATTGTAGCTTTATCTGTAAGATTGGGTATTTTTGAGATTGCATGCATTATTTTCTGTATACACTTTTTAATGATCTTTCTCTCTGTCAGACCCTAATGGAGGTAAAACGGTGTACCTGCTGTACGAAGAGGTGGATGAGACAGAAGTAGAGATTATTCATGTTCCCTCTCCGGCACTGGAAGAGCGGAAAGCAGATGCTTACAGATATCCACGTACAGGTCCGTGTAAAGCTACACACACACACACACAAGGTTCGTTCTCATCTTGCTGCTCACAATCTGTAAATAGTAACCATGAGCGACGTACAGCATCAAAAGAGAAATAAGAAAACCCTAGATTATCATTCTGGAAGAAGGAAAAAAAAAAAAAAAAAAAAACACGAAGACAGGATACAGACAACACAGGACAGATAGTAAAAGGACTCACTCTCCTTGATGGTCTGTCTGTTGATCTTCTGCCAGTTTTAAGGGGTCAGCTTGGGGTTTTTGAGCTGGTTAAATAAAAGAAGGAATAAGGGAAAATGGTAAAATTATGAAATGGGTTAATAATGAAATTGCCTGCTTTAAACTTTTGTGTGTGGGTGTGTTGTGTGTTCGTGTGTTTTGTGTGTTGGT